TGGTGATTGGGTTTTGAGGAAGATTATGGGCAACACCCTGGTGCCAGGAGAAGGCAAACTAGGGGCAAATTGGGAAGGACCTTACAAGATCACTGGTCTGGCGGGCAAGGGGGCTTACCACTTGGAGGATCTAGAGGGAAGAGCCATACCCCGGCCATGGAATGCGGCCAACTTGAAACTGTATTATTTTTAAGCTTTTACTTTCCTCTTCTTGTAAAGAAATTTTTTGGCTTGCAAAGCAGAATGTAATTCTTTTTGTCAAATTATAGAAGTAATTTTGCTTTAGCACTTGGACTATTATTTAGTGTTAAGAACCGAGATGATGTGCTCCGGTTGAATGAGTTGGTGCTTTGTCCAACTTTCGATTCCCAACCGAGATGATGTGCTCCGGTTGGACGAGTTGGTGCTTTGTCCAACTTCGCATTCCCAACCGAGATGATGTACTCCGGTTGGAAGAGTTGGTGATTTGTCCAACTTTGGATTCCCAACCGAGATGATGTACTCCGGTTGGAAGAGTTGGTGATTTGTCCAACTTTGGATTCCCAACCGAGATAATGTACTCCGGTTGGAAGAGTTGGTGATTTGTCCAACTTTGGATTCCCAACCGAGATGATGTACTCCGGTTGGAAGAGTTGGTGCCTTGTCCAACTTTGCTACAACCGAGATGGTTATTTCGGTTCATGAATTTGTTTTGTCATGCTTAAGTGCTTCGACCATGTTATGGACTCCGGTCGACAAAGTGTTCAAACAATGAGTTATACCGAGATATTTTGCTGAAGACGGAATTGATTACTACCGGGCAAACACTTGGCTAAAATTCAAAATTTTTCATTGATAAAGAAATTCATTACAAAAGGTGGGGACAGAGCCCGGTTACATCAAAAGAGTTGGAGGCAAAAATACAAAAACAAGGAAAAAGAGAACTAAACTAGGGGTGAGAGATTGGTGAACTCGTCCTCGCCAGCATCAAGGTTGATGGTAGGACTGACGTCTTGGGCACCGAGATCAGCACTGCCGGGCTGCTCTTGTACCTCGGCCTCCTCTTCCTCAGAATCTGTGTCATCCTCTCCATCTTCAAGTCCTTCCTCGGCCTCCGCTTGCAGAGCACTGAATACGTCGTTTGCGTAAGGCACAAGGTAGACCGGTAGCGAAGCTTTAGGAGGATTGGCAAATACGTCGGTGTCGGAGCCTTGGCCGAGGTGTTCGCAGGCAGACTTCCAGCCAGCCTTGAAGAAGATGTCTTGTGTTGCAAAGACTTGCTTCTTGTAGTTCTTCTCGGCTTCGTTAAAGCCGGCGGTGTTGGCAGCCCGGCAAGCTTTCTTCTTCGACTTCTTCAGAGTGTCCACCTCGGCTTGGAGCTCATCTCGTTTTTTCTTGGCTGCATCCAACTGGCCGAGCAGTCTGTTATTGTCAGAATTGGCCATTTCAAGCGAAGACTTAGCTCGGCCGAGCTCGGCTTGAAGGCTTTCAACGTGGCTGGCTGTGTCGTTGGCTTTCTGCCTAAGCCGGTGGATGCGCTCCAAAACCAAGTGTTGTTTCTGAATGGCCTGCACAAAGAAACAAAGTTCATCAGAAAGGGGACCGAGCAAGAAGGACCGAGCAAACACTTGTGAAATTTTAAAAGGAACATCAACTTACCCTGGCCATGGACTTCACGGATGACTTGACCAACCGAGTGTCTGGGACGTGGTCACTGCCGACCATGTCGCTCGGTAGTAGCAGGGCCTTGGACAGATCGAAGGCGAGCAGATGCTCTTTATCCGCCTTGATCGAAGCCGTCGCCGGGATATCTTGACCCCGGTGCTTCAAATGTGGGCGCCAGGCCGGCACTGGGGCGGGGGCGTCTGTTGGGTGCTCGGTGGTAAGCTCGGTGACTAGCTCGGCGGACGGGTCTGCCCGAGCTCTTTTCCCGGCGCGCCTTGCAGAGGGTTCTCGGCTGGATTGCCCGGCGGATCATTCTACCTTTATTAACTTTTTAACTTTTAATCAACAACTTCGACTACTGTTTAAGGCTTTTTGATTTTTTTAATATTTAAGACTTTTAATCCTAAACTTAGATTCCCGAATAAAGTCATAATTTAATTAGATATTGATACATATCTCACTACTATTGACAATAGTCAACGCTGCAGTGCAGGGCGGCATAAAAAGAACTTGCAATGGCCAATTTTGAAAAGACAGTAAAAGTGATTTTTTAATTTTTAATTAAATTTTTAATTTTTTTAGACAAATGATTTAGAAAATTGATAAAAAATGACTTTTGACTTCTTTTGATTAATTTTTATTTATGATGTCAAATCATAATAAAATGATCAAACTATCTCCATTTAGTTTAAAATATTTACAACTTCACTCATATAACACATTTTGACCTATGAGGGGTAGAATTGTAATTTCACCATTGGCTAAAAACCAATTTCCCAAATGAAAAAAAATTCAAAAAAGTCAACTTTTGACTTTTACTACAAACCAGAAAAAGTAGCTAAAAGCCAACTTCCCAGAACTTTTATTTTATAAGGGCGTGTTTGGTAACCATTCTGTTTTCAGTTTTTAATTTATATTTATAAAAATTTTAAAAATTATCATAAAATTTTATTTGATAATTTTTTTTGTTTATAAATGGTTGTCTTAGTTTATAAATTTGAAGAAAAAACATAAATTCAAAAAATGAGTTTACGTTTTCAATTTTCAATTTCTTTTTCGATTAATTTTTTTTTCAAATAATTTTTTTCCCAATTAATTTTTTTTGAATTAATTTTTTTTTCATTTTTTTTCAAATAATTTTTTTTCCCAATTAATTTTTTTTCAATTATTTTTTTTAATTCATTTTTTCTCAATTATAATGTGTGTGATCTCATTGTCATAAATAATAAAAATAAATATTAATATTTGAGGCTTGAACAACTTACTTTTTTAATTTATGTTTTTAAACATTTTATTGAAACTAAACGTGTTTATAATTTATATTTTTTTAAAAATAAACAAAAATCAATTTATAAAATTTTTATAAATATAAATAAGCCTTTGTTTGGCAAGTTGGGTTGGGCTAAAATAGCCACAAAAGACAAAATAGGCTATTTTAGCCACAACAAACAAAACATCACATCCAACCCATAATCATTACACTCTTCTCTCACAAAAAAAGTCAAAAAAGCCAAAAAGCCAAAAAGCCCTTCTCAAACCAAGCTTTTTAGCCCAGGCTAAAATAGCAAAAAAAGCCAAAAAGCCAAAAAGCCAACCCACTTCCCAAACGGAAACGTAAACATTACTAAACCGCCCCAAACTAAGGCTTATTTTGAGAAGATCATAAAAAGTGACTTTTTGACTTTTAACCAAGCTTTTGGCTTTTTTAGACAAATGATTTGGGAAGTTGGTAAAAAGTGACTTTTAACTTTTTTTATTAATGCTTTTTTATGATGTCAAATCATAATAAAATGACCAAACTATTCCTATTTATTTAAAATATTTACAAATTCACCTATGTAACATATTTTGACCCATGAGAGTAAAATTGTAATTTTACCGTTGGCTAAAAACCAACTTTTCAAATAAAAAAAAAAAAAAAAAACTAACTTTTAACTTTTGTTACAAACTAATAAAAAAAGTGACTAAAAGTCAACTTTTCAAAACAGCCCTAACTTCACAAGTTTCAATGAATTTTAAATATAGCCATTATTGATATATTAGTGGATACATTATTGACCAGATACATTATTGACTGATACATATCATAGTACTATTATTTAACCTGACGAAGGCGGCGGTGCAGGGGTGGCATAAAATGGATAAGTCTCATATCGGACATTGCAACTCGGAAACAGAACTCTCCCACCTCTTCTTCCATCACAGCAATCCGGAAAACTCGATATAGCATCTCTAAGACATGTATTGCAATCAGAGGTAGTTATGTCCGGTGTGCACTGCGCTAAGGCGTACAGTGTCTGAAGTGCCGAGAAATCAGCTTCTCCCGTCGCAAACTTCTTACCCGACACGCCATTCGAAGCACGAGTCGCTACATCATCCATCACCTTTCCCAACAAATTTGTAAAACGTTTTGGATCCTTTATGTTCTCCGTATTAACTAAGATATATCTGACAGATTGATCAGAAATTGAGAAGATAGATTTGTTCGAGTATCGTAACATGCACTCATCGTACCAAGTCGTAACAACCTTCGTTTTTTAATTTTGCCCATACAAGGTTAGCCATACAATATCGTGATTGACCATCAACCACTATGATCTACCACATCCACTTAGATGGTTGACCATATTGTCGAAAGGCCTTTTTAGGCTCTCAGGGCTTCCACCATAGCCAATCACATCCATTTGGATGATCGACCATATTGTGGGCCTTGATAGATTGCTCTCTGGACCATCCTTCGCAGCATGGGTGACCAAGCAAACTAATGTCGGCCTTTTTGTAACCCTATCTGTCCAAATTTGGTCTCCAACTTGTTCAAATTCTTCTTCATATCAATTAAGCTTTTCCATACCACTCCTTTGATGACCGTGGAGATCTCCCATAGCATGTCAAGCTTCCAAGATGACACAGTCAATCAAATGTGCCCTTCTCAAGGTAGTGGTTTGGGTTTTATCTAGTGGTGTTCAAAAATCCGAATCACCAAGCGTACCGAATCTGAACCGACCAAACGATCTCACTACAAATGGTTTTGCAATTTTAAATTCATGGAATTTGTTCGAGAGACACTGTATGGTCGTGTCAGACCGTGGGTGAAGACACTGTATGGGGTGTCATAACGTTGTAGAGGACACTGTATGGTGGTGTCAGACCGATGTAGAAGACAGTTTATGGGGTCATGTCGGACCGTTTGTAGAAGACAGTTTATGGAGTCTTGTCGGACCCTTAAAGGAGCTAACCGGAATCAATGTCGGGACAGTTTACAGAGTCTTGTCGGACCCTTGAAAAAGCTAACCGGAATCAAATGTCGGGACAGTTTACAGAGTCTTGTCGGACCCTTGAAAAAGCTAACCGGAATCAAATGTCGGGACAGTTTACAGAGTCTTGTCGGACCCTTGAAAAAGCTAACCGGAATCAAATGTCGGGACAGTTTACAGAGTCTTGTCGGACCCTTGAAAAAGCTAACCGGAATCAAATGTCGGGACAGTTTACAGAGTCTTGTCGGACCCTTGGCCTTGGTTGGCGTGCCCGTTTGTCGGCGTCAAAAAGCGCGCGATGCGCGTGGTTGCCTCGGCTATAAGACAGAGGCTGAGGCTGAGGCAGAGAAAAACGGCGAGAGATATTCTGAGAGAGGTTCTGTAACACTCTGTTTTCTGAGAGAGAGTTCTGAGAGAGATACTGTGTGACACTCTGTTGCCTAGAAAATGGCTTCATCGTCTTCCCGCGGGCTGCTCACCCTCTTTCCCGACCTCAACGAGTCAACGAGAGAGAGAACTGGTGCGGTGGCACTGGAAACTCAACCAAGCGCCCCGGAGTTTGCTCCGTTGAACTTTCCGATGCGGTCGGTGGAGCAAAGAATGGCAGTGCAGTCAGATGTGGAGGCCAATCAGTATACTTTGAAGGCATGTGTGGAAAGCATGACGGCGGTCACAAACCTGTCGAACCGGCTGCAGAGTAGGACAAATGAGGTGCAGCAATTAAACTCCCAGCTGGCTCTGCTCCAACGCATGTATAAGGATGCGCGAGCAGAGATAAGCGTGCTAAGGGCAGAAAACAAGGAGCTGAAGCGGAAGCCCACCGTGATGTTCCGATTTGGAGGGCCGCCATATGCTGCAGTGGAGGAGCAGGGAGTAGTGATCATGCCCAGTGGAGTGGGAAATACGGAGGCAACACCGGCAAGGGCCGCCCAGGACGGAGGCAAGAAGAAAAGACCGGCGGCAGAGTAGAGGAGAAAATCCTGCCTGTGGATGTGGTTGATTTGTTTTGTTGTTGTTGTTGTTGTTGTTGTTGTTGTTGTTTTTTTTTTTTTTTTTTTTTTTTTTTTTTTTTTGTGGTGGTGTAAAAGTGTGATCGGGTTGAGCCCCTGATATGAATAAAATGACAAGGTGGTGGAATGTTGTTGGTGTGATTTTGTGAATGCTGTTTTGTGTAATAAGAAAAATAAAATAAAATAAAACAATGGATAAAGAAAATAGAGAAAAATATTTGTGGATGGGGGATAAGAAAAACAGCAGTGTGATTTTTTTTTTTTTTGGTGTTAATAATATATATATATATATATATATATTAAAAGAAAAGAAAATGGTGAAATCGTGGGTGGAAGAAAGAAGGGAAAGTGTGATGATAGTGATGAGTGGAGGATTGATTTAAAAAATGAAAAGGGGGACATGATGATGAGGATAAAAGGAATAAAACAAAAAAGTGGAGGTTAAGATATTATAATGGATAGGTGTGATAGGAGAGAGAGAGAGAGACCAAGACCAAAGGGAACAAACTCAGTGGCTTTAGAAGAAAAAGAAAAAGAGGTATGAATTGGGGCAAAAGTGGGCTGCTTCGGGGTCTGCACAGTTTGTGGTGGCCATCTGGGTTTGAGAAAGCATAGTGAAAAAGCAAGCGGAAGATGGACGGTTCTATGCTGCAATATGTGCAGCTCCTGCCGTGGATAGCACCTAGTGTCTCAATACCAAGTGAGAGAGGAGTGACATCTAGGAGAAGCAACTCCTTAACGTCTCCACGGAGAATACCGCCCTGGATAGCAGCGCCCGTGGCAACTGCCTCATCAGGGTTTACACCTTTGCTTGGGCTCTTACCAAATATTTCTGCCACCACTTCCTGCACTTTTGGAACACGGGTCATGCCTCCCACAAGAAGAAACTCGTCCACATCTTTGGTTGTTATGCCAGCATCCTTCACACAGTTCTTGCATGGGCTCCTTGTCCTCTCGATTAAGTGGTTCACCAAGGTCTCTGTAACCAATCCTTCTCTGAAAGTACCAGTCGGAAATCGCTGCTTCGCTAAAACACTCAGCAATCCAAAAACATGGCCTCTTCTTCCCGTCCAGCTACCCAGAACATGGCCTCCTCTTCCCGTGGTCTGCTCACGCTCTTTCCAGACCTGAACGAGTCCACAAGAGAAATAACTGGTGCGGTGGCCAGTGAAACTCATCCAAGCGGCCCTGAGTTTGCTCCGTTGACCTTTCCTATGCGGTCTGTGGAGCAAAGAATGGCAGCACAATCAGATATTGAGGCTAATCAGTATACTTTGAAGTCATGTGTGAAAACCATGACTGCGGTCACAAACTTGTTGCACCGGCTGCAGAGTAGGACAAATGAGGTGCAGCAGTTAAACGCCCAACTGGCTCTGCTCCAGCGCATGTATAAGGATGCGCGAGCAGAGATATGTGTGCTAAAAGCAGAAAACAAGGAGCTGAAGCGGAAAGCCACCGTGATGTTCCGATTTGGAGATCCGCCATATGCTGCAGTGGAGGAGCAGCGGGGAGTGAACGTGCTCGGTGGCGTGGGAAACACGGAGGCAACACCGTCAAGGGCCGTGCAGGACGGAGGCAAGAAGAAGAGACCGGCGGCAGAGTAGAGAAGAAAAATTCACACGGAGGCAACACCGTCAAGGGCCGCTCAGGACGGAGGCAAGAAGAAGAGACCGGCGACAGAGTAGAGAAGAAAAATCCCGCCTGTGGATGAGGTTGTTTGTGTATTTTATTTTTTTTATTTTTTTTGGTGGAAAATGGCGATCGGGGTGAGCCCCGACATGAATAAAATGAGTTTGGTGTGCAGTGCTTTTGGTGGTTCGTTTTTTTTTTTTTTGGAATGAAAATAAAAGAAAATTGATAAAAATCAGAAGTGGTTGGAATGTACAAATATATAGATATAGATAAAAAATAAAAGATAGTTGATGAGAAGGATGGAACCTGGAGTAATAAAAATAATAATAAAATGGATATCATGGAGGGATGATGCTCACCAACTGAGAGAAATAATAATGAATTTTTTTTTTAAAAAGAAAGATAGAAAAAAAAAAAATAAAAGTAGGCATAGGAAAAATATATTATAAAAAAATATATATATATATATATATATATATATCTGAAAAGGGTGAAAGAACGTGGATGAAATAAATTAAGAGAAAGGAGAGATATGATTAAAGTGGGTTTGAAAGTGGGAAAAGATGAGAGAGAGGGAGATAGAGTGGGTGCATGATGATGATGTTGGGTCCATGGAGAGAGAGAGAGAAAGATGTCCAAGAAGCTTGTGCTTTTGATAGTTACACATTACCCAAGCTGTATGTGAAGATGCATGTTACTGCCCCCCGCAAACTCAAGGGGGATAGGAACTAACCAACTTGAGTTTGGAGAGAGTAACAAAACAAGAAAATACATAAAAATAAAAGAGGATAGGTGACACTGTATGGTCGTGTCAGACCATTGGTGAAGACACTGGATGGTGGTGTCGTAACGTTGTAGAGGACACTGTATGGTGGTGTCATAACGTTGTAGAGGACAC